TTGGGCAGAAAATTAAAAAGACATAACATAAGAAAGAATAAAGCCCAGATTAAGGCCCATTACAACAAAGAACATAAAAGATAAAAAGGATAAATAGCCTATGGGCCATTCGGCCCATCTTCTCTACAATGATTAGAAGGTAATCAAAAGTATATAAAATAGTAAATCATTAACTATACAAAACTGAATCCTAATCAAAGTCAATAGATATCATGGGATGCCAAGCTGAATTTTGAGGGATGTAGCATCTGCAACCTGAGGCCATCAGCTATAGGTGGTGTATACAGAAATGAGGGTTTCATTAGAGCTAACTGCTAAGCTGCTAGCATTATTGCAAGGACTACATTTGGGGAAATCCTTGGGTTATAGATATGTAATAGTGGAAGGGGATTTAAAACTAGTGATGGATTGGTTAAAGAATAATCGCCAAGGTTTATGGCAGTACCAACATGTTATGAGCAGTCATGGAACTAAGCTCCAGTTTTTCATGGGTACCAAGATCAGTTAATAAATTGGCCAATGCTCTATCCTAGCAAGGGGTAAACAGGAATTAATTATTTTTGGCAACTGTAATGCAAACAACAAAATGGGTTGGAAAGACTTGGCTTTAACCAATTTTATGGTGCATGGCATGTTGTACATACATCATTCATTATTTATAATCTAATAAATTGACAGTTAACAATAGAAAAGTTTGGAAGATCTGTTTTGATATAAAAACTGTAAGAGAGAAGAAAAGAAAGAAAAGAGAAGGTTTCTGCAGAGAAAGAAAGAGAAGAGAGGTTGAAGAAAATGGGAGAAGCCAAAAAATTAGGTCTGGTTGCCCCTTTCATTAGATTATATACTCAAATAAAAGAGATTACAAAGATAGGTATGCCCTTAGTAAGTCGACTACTTGTAAGAACTTAATAAGCACTCTCAACTTAAAACATAAACTAATGGGCCTAAGGCCCAATAACTCTGTAACTATGCTATGTAAATAAAACAAGTAATATCAGCTCAAAACTCAACACTCCCCCTCAAGTTGGGAATAGATGTCTCACATTCCCAACTTGCGTAGATCATGCTCCAGCTTGTTTCTTGCAACACCTTTTGTAAGAACATTAGCAAGCTACAAGTCAGATGCAATATATGGTAAGCAAACTTCTCCAAATGTCACCCTTTCCCTTATAAAGTGTCTATCCCCTTCTATATGCTTTATCCTATCATGTTGAACTAGGTTGTGGGCAATGTTAATTGCTGCTTGATTGTCACAATAGACCCAGAGGAACTCTAAAACAGCATGTTCCATGGCTCTGTATTTAGCTTATGCACATGACCTTGCCACAACTATTTGTTTCTTATTCTTCCATGAAACAAAATTACCTCCAATAAGAGTGCAAACTCCTGATGTAGGTCTCCTGTCATCTAGACACCCTGCCCAATCATCACCTGTGTAAGCCTCTAACTTCAACTATCCATGGTCAGCAAACAATATGCCTCTACCTGGGTGTCCCTTCAAATAGGAAAGTATCCTATCAATAGCCTCCCAATGCCGAACTTGTGGGACATGCATGTATTGATTCACCACACTTACTGCATAAGAGATGTCTGGTCGTGTCATACACAAGTATAGCAACTGGCCCACTAATCTTTGATACCTTCCAACATCCTTCACTAGTTCACCTTTTGAAGCATTTATCCTTTGGTTCTTATCAATAGGTGCATCAGTTTCCCTTGCCCCAAGTTTTCCTATCTTCTGTAGTAGATCCAGAACATACTTCCTCTATGGGACGAAGATCCCATGCTTGGACCTTGCCACCTCAATGCCCAAAAAGTACTTCAGCTCCCCAAGATCCTTGATCTCAAACTTTTTGTGCAAGTTCTTCTTCAAGGTATCAATCTCACTCAGATTATTTCCTGTGACTACAATGTCATCCACATACACTATCAAAACTGACACCAGTGACCCCCTCCTCTTCACAAAAAAAGTATGATCAGATTGAGTTTAAGTGTAGCCAAATACAACCAATGCACTTCTAAACCTGCCAAACCATGCTTTGGGTGATTGCTTCAAACCATATAGAGACTTCTTCAACCTACATACATTTCCTTTATCCACATCATTGTAAAAGCTAGCTAGAAGGTCCATGTACACCTCCTTTGCAGGTCCCCATTAAGAAAAGCATTCTTCACATCAAGTTGGAAGAGTGGCCAAGAGTATGTAGCTGCTAATGATAGAAGAATCCGGACTCTGAGCTCATCTTTGCCACTGGTGCAAAAGTCTCAAAGTAATCTGTGCCATAAGTCTAAGTGTACCCTTTTGCAACCGGACTTGCCTTGTACCTTTCTATACTCCCATCAGCCTTGTACTTACTTCACTGTATAAACCCATCTACACCCAACTATCTCCTTGCCATCAGGTAAATCCACAATCTCCCATGTATGATTTTTAACTAATACTTTCATTTCCTCTTGCATAACTGTCTTCCACTCAGGTTTGGAGAGGGCCTCATTAACACTCTTGGGTATACACACAGAGTCGAGGGAGGAAAGGAAGGCCCGATATGAAGGGGATAATCCACTATAAGAAAGATAGTGTGAGATGCAATGAGCAGTACACTTCCTCTTCCCATTTCAAAGTGCAATAGGGAGATCTAGGTCATCTACAATGGTGTTAGGTCATCAGAAGAAACAAGAAGCATACTTGGGTTTGTGTCAATTGAACCTGGAATCTCCGATGAGCCGATAAAGAGTGACGTGGGTTACTCTGTTGTGGAATAAACCTCCCTGTGTTGTCGTGTAAAACACTGAGAGACAGGATGCAATGGAGGTGGCAAAGTGAGTGGAGTAGGTGGGTCAAACACTAGAGTGGACAAAGGAGCTAGAACAGGAAATGGTATTGATTGCTCACTTCCTTCCCCAAAACACTCCCCCTAAGAAGAACCCCTCGAGAAAATGGTGGAAATGTTGGTCATATGTTCTGAGGCTCCTAAGTCTATAATCCAGGGAGGTCCCCCCTTACCTATAGTAGAGACATAATTTGCAATGGCATGTGAACTAACTGTATGTGCAAACGAAGTAGAATGGCTACCTCCTGATCCACTTGCACCCTACTATGCACCTAATAATGAGTTAGAGCTGGTTGTATCCCTCTGATAAAAAATTGCCCATACCTCTCCAATTCAGCCCTCATTGCAGCTACTGCAACAGACTCTGGAGAAGCTATAGTAGGTGGTCCTGAGAAATCATCAATCATTGTCATATTCACATTTCCCTTCTTGTTTCTGAGTCAGCTTGGTATAAGGTGTGGGTAAAGCTTCCAGCAGGTATCTCTGGTATGTTTAGGTTTCTTACAATAGTCATAGATCAGATCCTTCTTATCCTCCTTCCTCGGTTCAATTCCACCCTTGTCCCCACTCGGCTTAGGCTTCACTGTGCTAACCATAGCTGACTGCTCAAGGTCTGGGTTCCTCATCATCACATTCCTCCTACTCTCCTCTCCAGACACAAAAGCATATGCCTGAGAGAGAGTTACACTGTCTAGGGAAAGAATATGCTGTCATGCAATGTCATACTCAGAGTTAAATCCTATTTAAAACTCAAAAACCCCATTCTTCTCTACCAACTTTTGATAAGTTGTTGCGTCCTTGCTACTTTCACAAACCATAGTCTCCAAATGATCTATCTCCTACCATAAGGTTTCGAGGGCTAAAAAATAAATAGCAATAGACTTATCTCCCTGCCTAGTAGACCTGTTCATGGGCCGGGCCGGGCTTTCACTCTGTATTAACAGATTTTTCTAAGGCCCAAGCCCGAGCCTCATAAAAAGCCCGAAGCCCAGGCCTGGGCCCGAGCCCGAAATTTAGCCCATACTGTTACTACTGCTGAAGCGGCTGAATATATATATGTATATATATATATATATACATAGAGAGAGAGAGAGAAATTATAAAGAAAAGAATAAAAAATGTATATGTTAAATTATAAATATATATTTCAATAAATATTATATTATTTATATATTTTATATAATTTATAAAATATATAATGTTGAGTCGGGTCGAGCCGGCCTTTTATGACAAATCCTGAGCCCGGCCCGAAACACAATCGGGTTTACTGTGTTAGGCCCAAGGTCAGGCCCGCGGGCCTAATTACATGACCAAGCCCGACCGGGGGTGCGGGCCGGGCCGGGCCGAGCCATCGGGCTACCCGACCCATGAATAGGTCTACTGCCTAGTAGCAATCACCTAGTTTCTCAACTGGTAGGCTCTAGCAACATTCTCATTCTGCGAATAAGTTTCTGCTACTCCATCCCAAATCTCCTTAGTTGTGTTAGCCCATAAAAAATTCTTACTTATATGGGGTAACATGGAATTGCATAGCCAAGTCATCACCATGTAATTCCCTTGTACCCACTAGTAGTTAGTCTTAGGTTTCTTTTCCTCACTGGTGATATACCCCAATTTCCCACGAGCTCCAATGTCCATTTTTGCAGATTGTGACCATTCTAAGCAGTTTGTACCATCCAACTTAACTGTAGTGATGGTCCCAAGCCTTAAGAGATCTCCAACACCTCCTCCCCATAGTTCCATTTCACCTGCAAATTTGTTTTCAGCTCCACAACCCTCCATAACTCACAGAACAAACTACGAAATCAATTTGAGATGAGAAGAAAGGTATTTATCTCCTTCAGAAACCTCAACACCTTCCTAGTACTCTAGAAGCCCCTCCTTCCAAAGATTCCCTTTTCTGTAAGAGCGGGAGAAGAAAGAGAAGAGGCTACCGCTCCCTCTATACTCACAAAATTAGGTCTGGTCGCCCCTTTCATTAGATTATATACTCACAAATAAAAGAGATTACAAAGACAAGTATGCCCTTAGTAAGTTGACTACTTGTAAGAACTGAATAAACACTCTTAACTTAAAACATAAACTAATGGGCCTAAGGCCCAATAACTCCCTAACTATGCTATGTAAATAAAACAAATAACATCAGCCCAAAACTCAACATTAACAATCACAGACACACACTCAAAAAGAAAAAAGAAAAAAAATATTGCCAAGGCAATTTGTTAAACCATATTATATTTCCCACACAATTAATGTTTAAAACAACATAAATCATTGACAGGATACTTACCAGGCTTTGCAATAATCTTTTCTTGTGGTTTTAACATAATCTAGTGGCCAAAAGAACAAGAAAACAGAAAGGATATTATCAGTTCAATGGAAAGAAGAAAAACAAAAATAGGACAATCGCAAGAGTACTTTTTATTATTGTGAACTATACCTGAACTATCTGAGCTTCACCGCCCAAAATTTGAAAAGGTATTACAGCTGCTTGTGGACTCTGAAAAAACATAGTTCTCAATATTTAGGCAACTCAAAAGTATCAAATTGACAAGAAGATATTATCTATACTACTTTAAAAAGTACGAATAGTCTCACTGATATTTCTAGAATTTTTTTAGGACAAAATTTGCCCTTTCATATTTAAATTTATTGATAAAAAATGAGGGCAAAAGGGTAATCAATTATTAATATTAAATGAGTTGAAAATAGACAATTATAAGATATTCAATGCATTCAATTTCCTCTCATTAAATCCAACACTTAAGGTATTAATTTGCATTCAACTTCATTGAACCATATATTTAAGGCATCTTTATTTCTCATCATCATTAAATTCTATTAATTAAATCCATACATAACAAATTAATAATTCCAATAACATAAAAGCATACTTTTAAAATCTACCTAAAAAATAGTGTTCTCATCTAGGCAGTGATAAGTAATTAAACCATTTCGGGTCAAATGAGCCAATCCATGTTGTCACAATTAAATAATAAAATTTAAAAATATAGAAATTAAAAAATTGGGAACATTTTTAATATCATATATTCGACATATTAAATAATAATAAGTATGATAAATAAGAAATGTCTTTATTAATGATGGAAATAGAATGTAAAATTTAAAATCAATTAAAAATAAAATTATTTTCCTATTCTCTCTCATTAAATCTCATATTAAGGTATATTCTCTCATTAAATCCATAAAATTAATTTTAATATTATAAAAATAAATATTTTGAAAAATAATTTGAAAACAAAACTATTTTCTTCCCTCCCAATGGTGGGTAAGCAATTCAACCAATTTGGGTCAAATGGGTTAATAAATAATGCCATATTTAATAATACAAAATTTAAATATATTAAATATATAATACAAAAAATAAAAAGAATTGGACATATATCTAATATTGCATATTCATTATACTATAAAAATACATATGAAATGTAAAGTAATTTTATTAATGATGAAAATGGAACACCAAAGTTAAAATCAACCTATAAATGAAATGATGTCATAGTCAAATAATAAAATTTTTAAAAATAGAAAATATAAATAATAACAAAAAATAGAAAAAAATGGGCACATATCTAACGCTCCATATTCATAGAAATAAATATGGGTATATCTCCAATACTATACATTCATTATAAGTGATGGAAATGTAATATAAAATTTAGTGTCAACCTAGAAGTCAAATTATTTTCCTTTTTGGGTTATGGGTTAGTGGTTTGGGTCAAATGGATTAACCAAGGATATGATAGTTAAATAATAAATCTTTTAAAAAATAAAAGAGTACAAGTAATCAAAAGAATATATAAAAAATTATATATTAATTGTGTCAAACAAAAATTAAGTGTAATAAGTAAAAATTATTTATAAAATATAGATGATATATAATTTAAAACAAATCCAAAAGTAAAGCTATTTTCTTATCTAGATGGTGGGTCAATGATCCAACCTTTCAAAGAAACTCATGATGTCATAATTGAATAAGAATATTTAAAAAAGATAAAACACAAACAATGAAAAAGTACAAAATTCTACTGCATTTGGGAACATTTATAATGTTATATATTCATCCTAATAAATAAAAATAATTGTTAAAATAAAATTTATTTTTATTTATGGCAAAAATTAATGAAATACAAAATTTAATAATAATAATAATAATAATTGTTATTGTAATTTAAAATTTCCACACACAATGCGCGTGCACATTTATTACAAGCATCTGAGTTTATTTTTAATCATATTGTTAATTTTGTTAATTTTCAATTTTTATCTTAATTATGATATATCTAAAATTCAAGTAATTAGTATGAAAAAAATTTCTCACGTGCTTAATTACTAGTTTTAAAAAGTATCAGTACAGTTGTTCTTAAAAAGAAATTCACAAAACCACATAGTTTCAACAAGATACAGGTGATGTTTCTGCCAGAAGATTGCATTATCATATTTGATAAATAGCACAAAGAAATCAACAATTAATGATAGCAAATTTTGGTGTTAATGAGAGATGTTCCAAGTTTCCAACAAATCATACATGCATAATATCATTCTGAAACACTACTTTGTTCCTTGAGCTTGTCATAAACATTATATATGGTTATTTCATAGTATGGTAGCTTTTAAGATGAATCGTGTCTATATTACATTATCTGAAGTTCCACATTATATATGGAACTTTTATGCCATTTTGAAATTTCTAGCAAAACTTCTACAGTATATCCCATTCTGTAAGGTATTAAATTTTCCTAGAAATCAAAGTTTTGACCTTTTGATAAAGAAAACATATGCATTTTTTTTCACAGATACTACCTTGTAAACAGTTACAACAAATGAACAACAATGAGGTCTGGTGCAATATGCTTCCTGGGGAAGGTAATTTGTGCAACATCCTACAAAGTCTCACAAGAAAGGGAAAAAAACAGATAAAAGAGATAAATGAAAAGAAAAGGACAGACAGACAGAGAGAAAGAGTCTACACCAAGACAAAGGGCTCCTCCTCAATGCATGAACTCCAAACAGTGTTCTCAACCTGTCGTTAACCTGATCAGTCAGACAGGTGACCCCATGACCCAGTCACAGTTCCATTTTGCGTCAACCTCTAACCCTTCATATTACAAAACTTGGTCAATGACCCATCAACCTGGAAAGTTGACCCATCTGACCTGGTTAGGATTTTTTTGTATGACTATTTTTTGAAATTTTCTATGACATCACATTTGACCAAAACAGATGAACTTCTGACCCGTTGACTGAGAGGGAAAAGCGGTTCAGTGTCTGGGTCAAGTTTTAAAACATTAACGCCAAGAGATGTAGAAAATAAACCTCATTTGTTCACTCACTTCAAAAACAAAAAGGAATTGATTTTTTTTATTGTTAAAAAGAATACAAATATTTAGAGAGACAAGAAGCCCTCACCCTACTTGAAATTCCTTACAATCTACTCCATCTCCTTGAAAAAAGTTGTCACTTATTGCAGATTGTATGTTTAGTTCTTTTTTGTGGTTATCAAAGGGAACTTGGGTTGAGAAGAAATTTGAGGGATAATGAGATTGAGGATGAATAGACCTTTTCAACACTCTTAAGGCCCTCCTAGACTTATAAAAGTCAGATTCTAGGATTTGTTTTGTTGATTCTCTTGGTCACTTGTATTTGTTTCTTTAAAATTCTATCATCATCTCTACATCCTCCTCTAGTGTTCCTAGTAAAAGGTATCCAGATTTGCCCTGGGGCGGTCTGGGCCTCACCATGTTTAGCACCTAGGATAAGGGGCTTAACCGAGGGTTGGGCCCGGGCCAGCCCACACCCCGGGCCTGAAATATAGGACCAGGCCCTATACAAAACTTGGAGCTGTTCCAGGCAGGCCTACAAGTATTGTGTTGGGTTACTGCCTGACACAGGCTTCCCTTCAAGGGTGATGCTGACTCCTGAATCAAATTAGATGAGAGCGAGAGAGAGAGAGAGAGAGAGAGAGAGAGAGAGAGAGAGAGAGAACTTGGTGCAAGTCTTCTATTCCTTTCTTTCAGAGTACAGCCCTCTATTTATAGTGTTCTCCTTCTTGTAATGGTCTCATGACATTATTACAGCTAACTAATCACTTGCCACTTGGCTTCGCTTTTTGGTTGGTTACATGTAACTGAATTTAGGTGCCAACTGTTTCTTGATTAGTTGTGCTTAGCTGTCTCAGTGGCTGAGTTGGCTTCTTCCTCTTCTTTCTATAATATACTTTCAGCCTGTTTTCTGGGTCCTAACATATTGGGCCCAAGGCTCCAAGCTCAACCTGCAAATTTCTGGACCTGGTGCAGGCTCAAACTCAGCCCAAGCTTGGACACAAAACCTAGGGCTAAGACCAAAAATTTGCAGGGCAGACCAGGCTAAAAGTGATGACCCCTAATTGAATGTCTGTTGGATGAAAACCCAAAATGCAATACCTTGGAAAGTCAGATTGTTGGTAAGGCAGGCACATTCTCTAGGTGCAAGTACAACCTTGAATGTCTCATTCAATCGGGTGCGCAGAAGTGCTAACATGTTGGCAGATGCTTTAGCAAGAGCTGGGGTGACTAAGGAACAGCTAGAATGGGGTTGTCCAAGGTGGAGTTGTAATTTGTAATAGCTTCTCTTTATTGTGCTTGGTTATGTTTATGTTGTGTTGGGCTCCCTATATCTGGGAGTTGCTTTGTAACTTTTGGCCTGCTGCCTAGTTGAGTTTGAAGGATGGTGTTTCTTTCTTAATAAAATTCTCCAGTTAATTATCAAAAAAAAGGTCAACACTTGTAAAAGGCTTCAAAAGAAAGCTTTTTTGGTATCTATCACCTCATATGTTTTTTTTTTTCATTGCAATGAAAGTTAGTTATTAATCTCCTGTCCTTTTGTTATTGTTGGACATAGATAACTTAGTCCATCCCCTGTTCTTCTCTCCTCAAAAAGAGGAAAGATTTTATGGGGTTGTACTCAAGCAGCTGTTTTGTGGTCTGTTTAGCAGGAAGGAAATGGTAGCGTTCTCAAATAAGAACCAATCTATAGAAGCATTGGTTGAGCTAATACCTGTGAAGGTGGCTCATTAGGTGAAACAACAAGGGTTTTGGTCCTCATCTAATGATGTCATAAGAGGCTGGAAGTATGCAGCCTCATTCTCTTTGAATCAGGTTCCAACCCCTCAAGAGCAGGTTCCCCCTCGACTAAAGGGTTATTTGATAACAGCTGAAGTGGCTGAACTGAATGACTTATTTCCTGCCTTTCAGTGAATTTGGTAGCGAAATAATGATATCCAAAAGGCTATCAGTGAACAACGGCTTGGAAAAATGAACCAGCAATGAACAAAAAATCTACAGTGATATAAAAGCATTAAGAAGAAGGCAAAACAAAATATTCTAAAGAAATTGCATTTCAAATTAGCAATGTTTACTTGTGCAACATGCTAAGAACATATGGCTGCTAAAGATGTCTAAAAAATTGAAGAAACGAAGGAAGGAGTGAGTTAAAAAATGTGATGTTGATGAATATAAAATCAGGATTAAAAGAACCTAATGAAGGACAAGAAAATAAAAGAAAGGACGGCAAAATATTTTCCAAAATTACTAAACCAGAACCATATTAGGAAAGGAACCATTAACTCTAATAGGTAGGTAAACAATCACATTTTCCTGTTCCCTTAGTCCTGACTAGAGACTCCAATAACGTGGTTAGGAAAAACAAAACAGCCTAGGGAACGATTACTTGTTCCATATCCACAAGATTAGAGCCTTAGCCATCTTCATGAAAACATTGTTCTTATGCATATCAAAAGATGTCAATGGTTTAGCCTTGGTTTATACTTCATGTGATCTCTTTGTTTTTTACTGCTTGTTATTTGGATTAGTGGGTGATGCCTTGTCACTGCTGCATTGTACCTTTCTTCTTATTTAATGAATTATCTTTTTTATTTATCTTCAAAAAAAAATCATGTGATCTATTCTTGTGGTGGAATGAAACCATATTTATATTGATCAAAAAAAAAAAAATGAAACCACATTTAAAACTCCTCTAAGACAGCTCTGTGGAACTCTCCTTGTACACATCTTCCCCCTCTTCTTTCTGTTCATTATTTCGCTACTTGTTAGAGGAAAAAACAAGAAACAATTTTGAGAGCTCATTATTTGGTAGAATATGGCAGTAATTAAATACCATGTCAAACAAAGATGCAAACGTTGAGATGAATGAGGGACAAATATAGAAAGGATAGGATTAGATATAAATGCATTTGTGCAAATCTAGAAGTTTCCTAAACCATAGTTGTCAAAGCAATGCCTAGGAGATGGGGGTCACCTCATCCAAGCACCTAGTTGTTTTTGTAGAATGTGCTTTATAATGTTTTTATATTTTTATATTGTGAGTTTATAATTTTATCATAGACATTGTTACATCAAATCATTGATTCTGTAGGTTTGTAATTTTTTATATATTAGTTCTTTCTATTACTTTCTTGTTTGTCGTGGTTTAATCAAAAAACAAGTCAGCGAACACTGCCTTTAGCTCTTGAAGACTAAAAACTTCAATCAATAAGCATGGAAGAACTTGAAGACTTTAACTAATGAACACATAAGAGCAATCAATAGGACTGAGATGAATGTTTTTATTCCACCCCTTTCTTTTCTTCTTTTCTTGGGACAAAAATAGGGGCCTCTCCCCTTCTCCTTATTTTCTAAGTTTTTCCCTTTCTCTTTTGGGACAATTTCTATAAGAGGCTTGTACTTCTTCTTCTTCTTCCTCTTCTCATGAATATGATGAGTTTCTATGTTTTGATCTGAAGTTTGTACTTTTGGTGAAAACCACTACTACATATTAGTAAAAAATGAGTTTTGGTTACTAACAAAATTAGGGAATTAGCCTAGGATTCAGGTTAAAGAAAAGAAAAAATCCATCGCCCAAGTGGCTAGTCACTCCCTTGTTGCCTAGCTTTGCCTTGGCACAATGGCACCTTGACAATATGGCCCAAACAGGTGATGAAATGAGGGGAAGTGGGTTAAGGTGGTTTAGCCATGTGAATAGAACATCCTCTACAACACCAGCAAGAAGAAATAGATGATAAAGCTAAGGGACTGGAAGACCTATACACAAACCAAAGACGGCATGAGAAAGTAAGATAGTCCCTTGATAGAGTGGAATTGGAAACAGGATTCATCTAGCCAACCCCATATGGTTGGGGTTATGCCATTTTCATTTCAGTTGATCGTATTATGTTGCTAAAGATATGATGCATTACACAGAATACAATGGAAGAACTATATTCATGTTTCACACCCCACTTCAGTGGAATAATGCAGATGACAATAGTTTAAAAACAACGAAGACGATCAGAAGGATGCAAAACACTTGATTTGTGCATGCATCATACGTTAGCTCTGATTTATAGTAATGGTTCTTGACAAATTAAAGAAACTGCCACAAAACGAGTATTTGTAAGATAAAACCTAATAATTCCAGCTCACTCAATGGCTATAGTATGAATGATAATGAGTATAGATTGTAAGTTTAGGCTAACATAAAATTTCCACGTCATAACCAACATTCTAAGAAATCTCTTTGTAGTCAATTGACTCCAGTTATGACTTTCAGGACCTTTAAAATACCACGTAAGCCCAAAATCACAGGAAATTGAAACCAGACAGGTCGACTATACAGAAGACAAAACAAATAACTCTTCGTTAATGCACATCAAATCACGAAAATTATTACTATATCTAGATACAGAGCGGATCTAACACTAAAACCGAATAACAAATCAATTTTATCCCCCCAAAAAAGAGAATACAAATACATACACGCAATGTAATCGAAATTAAAGAAAAACAAAAACAAAAAAAATGTAAAGTTTACCTGGTAAACATAAGGTTGGAAAGGCGTTGAGAAGAACGGAGCGGCCATTGCAATCAATAGAGAAGTTCTCAACCATCAGAGATTAAGCAAGGGTACTGAAAATACACTATTAAAGATCTCACTCAGAACTCCAATTGTCCATTTCATCTTATAGATCAAAGAGACAAAAATTCAAATACATGAAAAGCACCTCCAAATTTCTCAACCCGAAGGAAGAAAATTCCTTTTCCTGACAAGAGTTTTTTCTTGCTCTCTGTGAAACTATCAGGACCATTTTATCGAACGAGTAAAATTCCTAAAATACCCATAATTAAAGCAGGGCATTAGTACGATCACTTGATTACGGAACAAGGTCACTTTAGAAAGTTCACCTTCCTAGTTCATCTAAAGCCGTCTTCTGAGTTGTACAGGTCGTTGGCTTGTTTACACGTCAACATTCGAGATGACGTGGTCCGGTTTTATTGGTCAAAAGTTTTCCTTCGACGTGTCCGAAGTCCGCACCGAGTAAAAGTACTCGGACGAGTCGAATATCCAAAGAAAGGAGTATATGACTCGGAGAGAGAATTACTCGAATTGCCAAGCCCACCATGCCTGACAAGCGCGGGTCAAGTCGAATAAAATGACTAAAGGTGAGGTCACAAAGGGCCCCGTTTGGAAGCACTCTCGATTTGTATTTTGGGTTTTCCAGAGTTTTCACTTGTCAACGATATTCTAAAATCTGATTTTAAATTGGGATTATAGTTGATAAAGGCAATTTTTGAGCTCTAATATCAATAAAAGTAATATTTTTAATAAAATTTTAAAAATAAATTAATTTTTTAAAAATAATATCAAATAAGGGCAAAAAATTGTTCATCTTTTTTCTCTTACAAATCATCATCAGCATTGTCGCCCGCAGCTGCCTCCGACAACGCCTTTGCCTCTGCCCAACACCACCACCTCCGCCCACCTCCGGCAAGATCAACACCCACTCCATTTGTCGGACAACACTGAAATGTGGGAATGCCTAGATTTCTTCCCAGTCTCTCTCAATGGCAAAATGGGTCTCAATACTTCAGTCATTAATCGGGGTGTTAAGCATGTGCTTAAGGTGAGCTTGGATGATACCAAACACGAGTATTACATAATTGGCACTTGTGATCCTGCCAAGGATCAATACACTCCCGATTCTGGCTTTGTAGACAATGGCTCAGGCTTGAGATACGACTATGGAAAATTACACTTCGAAAACATTTTTAGATGACTCGAAGAAGAGGAGGATATTGTGGGGTTGGATAAATGAATCCTCTAGCGTAGCCGATGATGTAAAGAAGGGATGGTCTGATTAGTGTTTGTGAACATCTCTGTTTCTTCATCTCATAGATTGCACGATTTGCATCTAATGTCTGAATTAATGCTTCCTAGACCCAGTTTATTTCTCATAGTTTGCTTTCCAGTAATCCTTTATGATTCAAAAAGTGGCTTAGTTTTTCACCTAGGTCAACAGTTTCAATTTCCTCTATCGATGCCCTTCGGCTGAAGTTGGGAAATTTAATCAAAAGGAAGGAGAAGATCAATAAAATCTTACGGGATCCATTTTGCAGGCAATCCCAAGGCATCTCTGACTCGATTCAAGTGGGAAACAATTGGTGCAGTGGCCAATCATTGAAATTGAACAACTACGAGGACACCAAGTTAATTTGGCCAAGAATAACAACTTCCCAAGTAAGTTTCTCTCTAACCAGCGCCGCCGTTGCCGCCTGCCTCCGCCCACCTCCGGCAACGTTGCCGGAGGCGGAGGTGGCGGCATTAGGTAGAGGTGAAGGCAGTGAAGGTAGGCTGAGGTGTTGCTAGAGACAACGGCGAACGGTGGCGCTGATGATGGTTTGCAAGAGGAAGAAGATGAGCAGTATTTTTGCCCTTATTTGATATTATTTTTAAAAAGTTAACATATTTTTTAAAATTTATTAAAAGTATTTAGTTTTATTGATATTAGGGCCCAAAAGTTGCCCTTATAAGCTATAATCCCTTTTAAATTCGAGATCTATATAATTGAATTGAATTATGATATAGTATGATTCAATTTGATAAATATCTATCAATTATTTAATTCTTATGTATAATATATAAAATATTTAAATATTGTATATACTTTATATATATATATAATATTTAAGTTATAAAAATGATTTATGTATTTATATAATGTACATAAATAAAATATTTATTTTATACATTTATTAATTGCATAAAATAATTAACAGGTCAAATTCAAATCAAATCAACTTTCAAATATTTATTATTTGAATTTGAATTAAAAGTTTCAAACATTTATTTTTAATATATGTCAATTATCGAATCGAATTCAGATACGAATTTTATAATAGGATTTTAAATCATATATTGCCTGATTAGAGCCGAATTCAATCCATTTACACTCCTTCCAAACACTACTTAATAGGCTACCCAAGTTGGGTGCATCTACGTGAAAACCCTTCCAAATTGGCCCAAAGTTTGAACCAAAGAAAGTTTGAAATAAAAAGTATAAGAAATATTTAAATACTATAACAGAATTACGTAATAATTTTAAAATATTTATTATAAAGATAAAAATAATTACAACATATTTAATAATATTCAGATTATTAATAAAATTATATTTTTAGAAAATTCATTACAAAATTACAAAATAACAATATAAATTATAATTTTGTGGAATATTTAATTTAATAATACAATTATTTAAATAATAAAAATAAAAAATTAAAATTAAAACATTATTTGAATATTTCAAAATTCAAAATATTAAAAATATCTGAATAATTATATAGAAAAATATTTAATATTATATAATAACATTAAAATAAATAAAATTTAAATGACAACAAAATTTAAAATATTATTCCAATATGTAAATAACTAAATATTTAACATAACTAAATTTAAAATCGTTGAAATCATGAAATTGTGTAATGAATTTAAAAATATTCTTAAAAATAAAAAATAAGTATAATATATTTCATAAATATTTAAATTAATATCAATTTTATATTTTACAAAGTTAATAACAAAATTATGTGATAACAATGTAAATGTTAATTTTATAGATTATTAAACTTAAAAAAAATTAATATGTTAAAATTTTAAATAATCAATAAATTATTTAAATAACTAAATAATATTATAATTCACTAAATTTTAAATATCAGAAAATTTAATAACTAAATCATATTTTAAATGTTATTTAAAAAACAAAAAATAGATTAAAGAACGAAATTATGTAATTAATTTAAAAATTTATCAAAAAGAAAAAGTAATTATAATATATTTAAAAATATTTGATAATAAGAATATAAAATATAAATAATCTAAAATTTTAAAATATTATTGGAATAATGAAAAATATATTAAATAGTTTAGAGGCATTAAAGCTTCCAAAACATATTTGCATACAAACCTCTTATTCAAATATGCTATAAATAATTAATTACATTAATTAAGAAATAAACAATATAGCATATTATTCTATGAACAATTAATTAGGAAAAGTTCAATTTGGAAAACTTGTAATATATACGAGAAATATATGTCCTGCCCTCATGTTGAACAGATCCAATTAAAAAATCCTGAATATATAGCTACTTTCCCCTAATTACAAGTAGAAACTTTACTCAAATCGTCAATGTACTTAAGCAGATACTTACCAATTTGTTTATTTGACTTAGTAAATGAAAAAACTGAAAATATATACAAAATTATCTTCTTATATGTTTATTTGTATTCTTTGTACAAACGTGTGCTCTCTAGCATGCCATCTCCTTGTAATATAATATCATTTTCATATCGAGAACCCAGTTATCAAAGCAATATCAAGGATATATTAATAATTTGATTTTTTTACTTATATTAAACGCCTTATTCCTCTATCAATCACACAACACATACACCAATTATTTCTTTACCATTGTATCAGGGAAACAAGTGAATAAATGTAAAATGGTTTGGCTTAAATTAATTCTTTCTTCCTCACCCAACATCAAGAAGTGATTATAGTGTATAGATGGAATTGATCTAGATTAGTGTAATCGTATTTAGCACCATTGTGTGTGTGTGTGTTTTCTATATTTGAGTTGTCTTTTTTAGAATTTATATAAAAGCTGAAAGAAGAATACAATCAAAATTACAATCTATTTTTAACCAAGTAAAGTATTTGTGAAAATTGAACAACTATTGGTGATGTTGTCCGATCCGAGTTGTTTCGAACCAAGGATACAATCAGATAATTCTGTCAACTAGACGAGGCTGAGGTGGAAGGGCGAAGTCGCACACTGAGATCTACAACCAAGAGAAAGGTCAGAGGTCCGACGATTTATTCCTTAGGGTTATAGTTTATTTCTAAGCAAGTGAAGTATTTGTGAAAATTAAACAACTATTGGTGATGTTGTCCAATTTTAGGTGTTTCGAACCGAGAACACAATCAAATAATCCTGCCAACTAGTCAAAGCAGAGGTGGAAGGACGAAGGTGTGCATTGAGATCTACAACCAAGAGAAAGGTCAAAGGACCAACGAGTTATTCCCCGAATAGGTACTTCGACGCTCAAGCCAGTTGGGTAGAGAAAAAGGTGGTCGGGCCGAGCAGGTTGAAATAATATTGGTCCGAGTCAAAGAGATAGTGCAAAGATATTCAAAGAGTGTTCTTCCAAACAAAGGTCCCTTACCTCGGGCGGGGAATACCCATTTATAGGTGGGTATTCGTGCCCTAGATGGTTAGTGATTCCGAGATTGTTGGGATGAAGTCATTCACGTGAGGTCTTTGGGAGGTTTCCTCTTCCTCGGCAAAGTCTGCTTCTTTGTCCATGTAGAACACTCTTTAGTCATGCTCTTCCGTTACACATGGTATCGACGTGGCTAGATAGAGGATGGTTGTGGAAGTTGCCATGTGATCCTTTGCCAACTCAACCATCACCTAAACAAGTGGATTCAATGTATTGTGAGGAATTTAGTTGTGAAAACCTTTGTGGAAAAATGAAAATAACAAAATAAAGAAACCAACCTATGAGAAAAGGAGAAAATAGTGCATTCTTCGATTAGAAAACGTGATTTCAAAATTATGCATCTCTATAAAATACCATTGTGCACTAGTTAATAGTGTATTTGGATTTTGTAAATGCGAATTCATAACATTATGTCTCTAAAATGCCTTTTGCATTAGATAAATAATGAAATATTGTTTTTTTTATAAAAGGATAAATAGCATATTTGAATTTTGAAAATGCTATCTATT